CCACTCACCTCAGCCTCCCAAAGGCGGGGGAGTACAGGCTGAGCCACCGAGCCCGGCTTGCTCTGATCATTTAATCTGGGACATGGGCCTTGGGAGAAGAGCAAATCCCACAGCATACAAATTGTGGCATTTGTGAAGCTGTCTCAGATGAGGCCTCCTGACTTTTTCAGCTCCTTGAGCTCTGTGAGTCCTTACATGTGTGCTCTCCTATGACGGTTCTTCTCAGTCTTAGCCAGCTAATATACCCACCTCTTGGTGGTAGCATTGTCAGGTTATTGTCCTTTGGATAAGACCTCCTAAAGTCCCTGCCTAGCAGAAATTAAATCCTTATAACCCTTAGTAATTGTCTTTCTTAACAATTGTCACCGTTGGTAATTACGTAGTTACTCCTTCAAATAACTGTTGACTGTCAGTCTTCTCTACTAGGCTTAACAGTCCCAAAAGGACAGGGTCTGTGCTTGTATTGCTTATTACTTAGGTCCAGGGCCCAGGCCAATGCTTGCCAAAAATAGTTACTAACTAAATGGCAAGTGAATGGATGAATGAATGAATGGATGAATATACATAAATGAAGATGTCTCTCCAAGAAATTTAAGGTTAATAGCACAAATAAACCATGGACATCGAGATACATATTTACATATTGCAAAACACAGTGAAAATGATTCCAAAAGATATGAAATCAGCAATAGATATAGCACTCATTTCTATTTGGAATGTCTTCTTCAAAACGTAGAATTTAAGTTAGGATGATTTAAAAGAAAGGAAGATGAGAAAAAAGATAATTTAGTAGAAGAATACAGTATACATATAAAGGCAAAATGGAAGGGAGCTTTTGGGGGACTTAAAGATGACTTGCAAGTGTCTGTACTAAAACTCAGAAAAATTTAGCTGTACCTAACGAATATTTTGTGACATGAAGATTTGAAGTATCTCCATTTATTTATCTTCTTTCTCCAGCAAGCAGCGTTTTTCAGAAGAAAACAATAAAGCAGATCAAAATCTAAGAAAGGCTGAAGAAAAAGTTAAAGTTAAAAGAGAAATTGAGGTGAGGATCAGTTTGATCAATTTAGTTATAATTTATGTGTGTTTGTGTGTGCGTGCATATTACTCTAGTGTGCATTTTCAATATTGGCTACTATTTTTCCTACTACTAGTAGAATTTACTAGAAACTGGTTTATAGTCATTGTTTTAGGAAACTTAGATGAATGATTATGGCATTACAAGTTCTAGCTCTATTTGATGGAAATTAAACAAGTCACATGAATAGTATAGTTTTACACTCCTAAATGAAGGTGATATATCAAAACATCTGAATTCAAGTGTGATATGTACTCTTCAAATGTGTGGCAGCTGTTGTGGAGTTATTCATATTAAAAGCAATGTCAATGTAGAATTTTACTGTGCATTCTTTAAAATTATACTGCATTCTACTTTCTAAACATCTTTTATATAGTCACTTGCCTGTTTTCCTACTGCTACCATCCTAGTGTGAACAACTCATACTTCTCCTTTGCACTGATGCATTTTCATCTCCATCTTCCTCGGTCCTCAAGATTCAATTAATCTCACATGTTGTTTTCATAGAATAGGAGATGTTTCCGTGGATCAGTGACACTATAAAATTCCAATGTTTGAAGGTATTCTAGATTATATTTGAGCTACTTCACTTCTTGTAGACACCCTATGTAACTTACTTCTAACAGATAGTAACCTATATTTCTATGATGTGTAGTTCACAGTTCTATAGAGTAGCCCACCCCATTAGGCTACCTTCTGCCTTGTTTCCAACTGTTTTCTTTCCCTCAATCTTAGGTTTCCAAGTCCTTTTAATTTTAGTACTTGAATGTCCCTCAAATATTATATTATCTTTATTTCCAGTTTTGTTCTCTTTTCCTCCCTCCTTTCTTCCCTGTCTTTCATTTCCTCCTCTGCTTTCTCTTTCTCCTTCCCTCAATCCCTGTTTTCTCCCTCCCTCCCCTCCCTCTCTCTTTTTCCTTCTCTCCTTTTCCTTTTTTTGTAATCTAATTAGTTTCCCTAACTTCATCTCTGCTTACTCAAATCCTTCACACATCTGGTTGTCAGTCTTTCTAAAACAAAGATCTGATTCTGTAATTCTCTGCTATAAATATTTATCATTTTCTCATTGCCTAAGAGTAAAATACAAATTCCTTTCAAAGTTTAGAGTTTTTGTTTTTCATTCATTTTTAGGGTCTCCATTTTGAGCATTTTCCAAATCTTTTTCTCTTTACCCAACTAATTGTTTAGCTCCTATACTCATAAATATGTTAGATGATCTCAAAGAACCTGTTCTTTCATGCCTCTATCCATATTATAATTCCTCTTGGAGGTCCTTTTTGCTGCATTGTGTCCCTAAATACATCCTTAAGATAGAACTCAGATATAAGTTCTCTCTGAACTTCCATGAATCATTCTTCCCTTTGTACTTGTACACACTTAATTCAGATCTGTATTACATCTCTTAGTTTTTTTATATTGCAATTACTTATCTTTCCCACTTGACTGATAAAGGACCTCAATAAATCACATTTTTTTTTGTTTAAGTTGGAGTCTCGCTCTGTTGCCCAGGCTGAAGTGCAGTGGTACACTCATGGCCACCACAGCCTTGAGCTGCTGGGCTCAGGTGATCCTTCCACCTCAGTCTTCCAAGTAGCTGGAACTATAGTGTGAGCCCCCATGCTCGGCCAATTTTTTTTTTTCCTTGTAGAGATGAGGTCTTGCCAAGTTGCCCAGGCTGGTCTCGAACCCATGGGTTCAGACAATCCTCTTGCCTCTGCCTCCCAAATTGCTGGGATTACAGGCATGAACCACCGCATCCAGCTAATCACATTCATATTTATATAGTTTCATAATTTATGTATGTATTTGTTCAACACTTAAATGGATGAATATTACAAGGAGAGAAATATCATAAAATTTTTGGATGATCTTAGATCCTGAAAATTTTATTTTTTCATCCTTCATTCTGCTTTTCCAATTTCTTTGTAAAACAGCATTTAAAATTAATAAATAGATAGCAGAGAACTATATCTAAGCCGTCTCATTTTCATTATTCAGAAGCTCTGTGGTGAATATCAAGATCGTGCAAAGAATGGAATACTGTTCTGTACCAGAGAAAATGACCCTGTCCGTGATCCAGATGGAAAGATGCATGGCAACTTATGTTCCATGTGTCAAGCTTACTTGTGAGTACAGAGTTTTAGAAAGCCTGAGAAAGAAGGGACCTTTTAGATAGAAACAGCTTGTTTTATAGAAGGGGAAACTGAAACTCAAAAACAGGGAAGGGAGTTGAATAAGTTTCATGGAGAATGTCAGTAACAGGATTGGGAGTAAGTATGCAGGGCTCTTTGTTTCAAGATACTTTGTTTCTCTGACTACTCCCTCTAATGTTAGTTGTCCCCTCACTCCTGAAACTCTTGGGGGAACCTGTGTTAGCAGTTTATAGGTATGTCTTCCATGGCAGTTACGATCCAAAGTTAGCACTTAATGCAGAACTTACACATAGTCACACCCATGAAAAAACTGTCAACTTCCAATGCTATGTTATTTTATATAATTTATGTATGTTATTTTATGTAATATGGCATTTCTCAGTAAGTTAGAATTGACAGTTTTCAAAATTTAGACTAGCTCTCACTGTATCTGGTTGAGCTTAGATTAAGTATTTAACATATATTTAGAATCTATGCTTTTTTTTTTTAATTCACAACCATAGATGGTTGAAATATCACCTAACTGTACATACTGTGCTGTTCCATTATGCAAAACAAACTGAGGCTCATTTGGTATATCACTATATGGAAAGTATTGGCTTTTTTCCACTGCCTCACATTTTGTCTTTTAGATAAAACAGCCATGAGAAAGCAATACATTGGGACAACTGGATGTTCTTTATTAAGGTCACTTTCAGCATCCAGGTGTTGTCACTGTGGTTCTCATTTTGATACCTTTGTTGTGAATACTGGTGATGCTTCTCTTCGTACCATAGGCAAGAGGGCTCATTTACAAAAAAAACAAGTTTTCCAGACCCACTTGCTGTCTTTCTTCAACATTAACCAGAAACTACGAAAAAGTCCTTGTATCATGCCATACTGGAGGATTTTTTTTGTTTGTTTGTTTGTTTGTTTTTGCTTGTCATTGATATGATAAAGCGACACAGTTGCTCCTCCCTAAGGAGGGAGGACAGATTAGCAGTGCAGGGATGAGGAGAAACCCTGGCACCTGTTTGGTCCTAATTGCTTTCTTTCATGCTCTCTCTCATTCAGTCAAGCAAAAACTGAAGAAAAGAAAAAGGCGGAAGCACAAGCTAGAAATAAAAGGGAATCTGGAAAAGAACCCTCCTATGCAGTGAGTGGAATTCATCCAACACATCCTACTTGGTACTATATCTAAACATACTTTAAAGAGCCTAAAGGGTGAGATTTTTGCCCTGCAAAAATCCCCAGAAAAATCTTAACTCTTCAATCTGGGGATGACATTGATATGAATGCTATGGCAGATTGATCCATTCTTGCTGCTTCAAAGACTAATCCTGTAAAATGCAAAGACCTTATTTGAAGTCTGAAAAACTGAGTTCTGGTTCTAGTTTCATCGCTCACAGATGGTGTTAACTTTTGCTAACCACTTTCCAGAGAAACTCTACAGGTATAGTTTCTACAGATACATTTCTGCAATTTCACATCTGAGTTGAGATAAAAATATCTTGATTCTCCAAAAAAGCATAATTCTTATCTCTGAAATATGGCATTGTTAGTTTCCAAAACCTTAGGTCATTTATCTTAACCTATTGTTTTGATAATGAAAGTTTTCCTCCTGGATTCTACCCTTTCCCTTACCCACCCTTGTCCCTGATATAATGTGATCAATGTTTCAAAATATGAGTCAGATCATAGTACTGCTTTACTTAAAATCGCAAGTAGCTCATTATCAACTAAAAGATATGTTTTAATCTCTTCATCCTCTTCCTTGTTTGGCCCCTTACCTCTATTCAGAAAACCATGCTCTGCTATGTGTCATGTAGTTTTCTACCTGTTTCTCAGCTTATTTTATTTTCATAATCTAGCATGCATGTTTCCCAGTTCACTTTTTCTCAAATGTTATTTGATCTTCACAGTCACCTAAATTATTCTTGCTCTATGATCTTCCCTGGTTCCCACAATCAGATTTCATGGTTCTGACCTTTGAGTTCTCAGATTTTCTTACATTTGCACATATTTTATTGTTTAGATTATAGTGGAACTTACTTGTGTACCTGTTGTTATATTGCAACAGTCTATTCTTTCTTGCTTGTTCCCGTCTCTTAGCTAATGATAAGTTACTGCTGTTACTGAACTGAATTTTACATTTGAGAAAACACAATTAAAATCTTGGGCTCAAGAAGACATGATGTTAGTTTCTGCCATGTAGATGTTTGGATCTTCTGCTTTGAATAGGAATAAAATATATATCCAGTTTACTTTATTTTGGCAGGAGCTTTGCAGAGAATACCAAAAGTTTGTGAGGAATGGAAAACTCCCCTGCACCAGAGAGAATGACCCCATCTGGGGCCCTGACGGGAGGATGCATGGCAACACCTGCTCCATGTGTGAGGTCTTCTTGTGAGTAGTATTGCAGCTGAGAAAATGAAGGGAGGGCTTTGTCCTTTCTATTTCATTTTCACATTCAGTTGTAAGAGAGATGCTTTAGCATACAAATGAAAGAATGACATCATATTTAGAGAAACTGCCTAATTGCAGAGATGTATAAAAACCATGTCCTTTGAGGACTGTTAAGACTCGAACACAGTTAAGCAAGGGGAGAGTCATAGTTTTGAAATGTTCAAACAGTTTTTGTTTTACAATGTGAAAATAGAATAAGTTCCAGGTTATCTCCATGGATGAAAATGAGGCCTATGGGCCACTGGGCAAAAGCTCCAGAAGACAGATTCCAGCTCAGTGCCAAGAAGAACTTGCTAACAGTCTGAGGATCTCAAAAGTGGAGTGCCTTACCCCTAGGTGTCAAGGTTGATGTAGGAAGAGACGTCATTGGAAGATTAAAACAAAGGCTAAGTAGGCTTTGGAGATATAGTAGTGAGCTTTGCAAGTTAGAAAACTGCCTCTGGACTAGAGTCTGTATTGTTATCTTTGTGTCTTTGGGCAGATAGGCATTCTGTCTGCCAGTTTTCTTATTTGTGAGTTGTGGTTATAATAGTATTACTACATGCAGTTATAAGGGTCTCATAGTATGAGCACAGGCACAGGGTGAGGTGCATCATAGAATTTAATAAACGTTAACTGTTAACTGGGATAATGACATTATACCGAGATCACTTCCAATAAGGAGATTCTATGATTCCTACTCATCTCTTTTTTTAACCACTCTCTCTTTAGCCAAGCAGAAGAAGAAAAGAAAAAGAAGGAAGGTGAATCAAGAAATAAAAGACAATCTGAGAATGCAACTGTCTTTGAGGTAAGGGTTTCTTTTCTAACAACTCAGAGGTGTGTGGACCTAAGATACATAAACAGCATTCAGGGAACACATGAATTCCATGAAACTGCATGAATCATTTGTATAGTTTGAGTTTTTGTGTGTGTTTGCATGTGTCCAGGTACACATGTGCATATTGACTATTTCTTGGTAGAGGGTTCATTGCTTTCCTCATGTAATATGCATGCCTTTGAAGTTAAGAATGATTCTAAAATAAGGCAGTTGCTGATTCCCATCTAAGATTTTTTAAAAGTGTAAACTTCAGCTTCTTTTGCAGTCTGATCCAGCCTGTGTTCAACATGTCTGATTTCCCTCCTCCATTTCACAGGAGCTGTGTAGTGAATACCGCACAGCCAGGAAGAATGGACCACTTCTGTGCACCAGAGAGAATGACCCCATCAGGGGCCCTGACGGGAGGATGCATGGCAACACCTGCTCCATGTGTGAGGCCTTCTTGTGAGTAGCACCAAAGCCAAGGGATTCTGGGCTTAAGGAGTGGAACTGCCATGGGAACTTTTCACACAGTGAATAATGCATCTTCCTCTTCAGGGTAGAATTCTGTTTTGGATGTCGCATTTATTTTTATTTTTTTGAGTTGGAGTCTCACTTTGTCACCCAGTCTGGAGTGCAGTGGCCACTCCCGGTCACTGCAACCTCGACCTGCTGGGCTCCGGCGATTCTTCCACCTCAGCTTTCCAAATACCTGGAACTACAGGCATGTGCTAACACACCCGGCTAATTTTTTTGATTTATTGTAGAGATGAGGTCTCACCAAGTTGCCCAGGCAGGTCTCGAACCCGCAAGCTCAGGCAACCCACTCACCTCAGCCTCCCAAGGCGGGGGATTACAGGCTGAGCCACTGACTCAGGATGTCGCATTTAAAAGGACAAAAAGCAAACAACAACAGCAACAAAACAAGGAGAGGCCTTTCAGATGATAACTATTGTGATAAAAAGAGATACAGAATGAGCCAGACACAGAAAAGCAAATACTGCATGAAACGTCTAACTCATAGTGAAGAGTCAGTTGAGAGAGTGCAGTTACCAGAGGCTGGGGGTGGGGCGGGGCTGGGACTTGGGAGCCAGAAGATGTTCAGAGTGTATGAAGTCTCAGCTAGACAGCTGAAGGAGTATGTTTTTGAGATCTGTTGCACAGTGTGGCAACTATCGTTAATAATAATGTGTTACACATTTTAAAATTGCTAAAAGAGTAGATGATAAATGTTTTCATCACAGCAAAATGATAATTATGTAAGGTGACTATTGCTAATTAGCTTGATTTAATTATTATACAATATATACACATTCCAAAACATCATATTGAATTCCATAAATATATGCAATGATTATTTGTCAATTAAAAATACAAATTCAGGCCAGGCACGGTGGCTCAAACCTGTAATCCCAGCACTTTGGGAAGCTAAACTCAGGGGATTGCCTGAGCCCATGAGTTCAAGAACAACCTGGGCAACTTAGCAAGACCTCATCTCTACAGTAAATCAAAAACTTAGCCAGATATGGTAGCGCACACCTGTAGTTCTGGCTACTTGAAAGGCTGAGGCTGAAGGATCACCAGAGCCCAGCAGGTCAACGCTGGGGTGGCTGTGAGCATGCCACTGCATTCTAGCCTGGACAGTGGAGTGAGACTCCAACTCAAAAAGTGAAAAAATGCAAACTTAAACCCCAAGATGCAGAATAACTTATTCTGTGGCATTTCAGAGGCAACCTAGATTTTATTACCCAAAGAAGAGAATCGGCCATGATAATCATACTCATTGCTTTTAGTTTGATGAAAAATTATCAACTGAAATAGGAAATAGATGAGATTACATGTAAAAAAATATCATTACAGTGCACAAAATATTTTGAGGTTTTTTTTTAGGGCTCACTCTTCTTTCCTTCCTTCCTTCCTTCTTTCCTTTCTTCCTTCTTATTCTGTGTGATTGTGTGTGTGTGTGTGTGTGTGTGTGTGTGTGTGTGTGTGTGTGTCAGGGTCTCTCTCTGTCACTTAGGCAACCTTGACTTTCTGAGCTCAAGTGATTCTCCCACTTCAGCCTCCCAAGTAGCAGGGACTACAGGTGTGTGCCACCATGCACAGCTACTTTTTTTCATTTTTTTGTAGAGATGAGGTCTTGTTATGTTGCCTAAACTGGTCTGGAACTCCTAAGCTCAAGCAATCCTCCTGAGGTGCTAGGATTATAGGTATGAGCCACTGTCCCTGGATAGTCTATGTGATTTTAAGGAATAGAAATAAAATGGATAAGAGCTATAGAGAGACAGGTGTGGGCTCAACATGAAGATTGACCTTGGATGGAGTAAGGAAAGATTCAAGAATGGGGATTTTGCAGTGTGGGAGTAGGATGCCCATTTAGATGAGATTGGGCATGTTCAGGGTGGTATGGCTGTAGACCAGATACCCATTTAAAGGGGGCTTAAGGTATGACTTTGGAATGGGTGGCATGATATGGCCCCTCAGACAAGAGTCTATGTCTTCTAAACTCTTGATTTTTAATTAAGGGAATTCTCAAATTTATTTTCTATGTGTTAAGAGTCTCTGAAAGGATTTAGTTACTTCGTCTTCCCTTGCAGGTTTGTCCTATCACGTTTGCGCCATGTTTGGGGGGCCAGCCCCCAAAAAGAGATTTAGGAGGTCCCTTGGAAGGTGTGATGGCGTCGGCGATTATTTCTGGAGGGATAGATATTGAAAGAAAGAAAGATAAAGGGATAGATATAAAGAGAAAGAAAGTGGACATCTGTTCAATGAATTGAGCAGAAGCCGTTTATTGAAACTTACAGCAGGTATTTATCCCCAAATTTTACACAGGCAGTCTTACAAGTCTTCCACTTGAACACAAACCAGGTGCAGGAGAGGGCACCCTCCCACCAGGTGTTTCCTCAGGTATGAGGAGGAACAATCTCAATTAAATCACAAAACCTTTACATGAACACAAAGCCAGGCGAATGAGGGGGCATCCCTCACCCACCAGGTGTTTCCTGGAGTAAGAGGAAGGGCAATCCCAATTAAATCATAAGACATTTACATGAACATAGAGCCAGGTGGATGAGGGGTGTCCCCCACCCACCAGGTGTTTCCCCAATCATGAGGAATGAGGATCCCAAAACTATCTCACTGTTCCTCATGCTTGGTTAATATTTCTCAAAAGCAATATAATAATTCTAATATCATAATATTCTAATAATCAATAACTTTTAAAACCTGTGCATACACAACACCTAATAACCAACCTAAATCCCAATTCCTCTATATTTTACACTAATTCTACCTACACTATAGAAACTCTTAATTATAGCCCAAACCAATTCCTAAGGAATGTGACTCAGTCAAAAGATCACGCTGGGCCGTTTCTGGGAACAACTGATTACAATCTCTTAACAAAATGGCTGTTCCGAAATCCTATAAATCTATTTTAACTTTTCTTAAAGTTTCTAATTCCTAATCCTGATCATCAGCAATAAAGCTTCTAAAAAATAAAACCCAAGTATAAACTGTAAATTGTATTAAAGCCAAAACCACAAATGTAGAAGATGGAAACAATGTAATTTCTAACATTAGCTGTATTCTTATTAAACCTCAAAATATCATAATTGATCATGCTTGAACTGACATAATTCACTGACGTAGCATAACCTATTCTACAATACTTTCTATGAATAAAATAAATAAATTCAATTTCTATAATAAGTAGAAAAAACCCTATACTAACTGTAGCTAAAGCCCAGTTTAAAAGAAAGCAGCCCAGTCCAAAGTATGTGCTGAGCCCTTAGGATTGTGGCCCAGCCCAAAGCTTGTGCTGGACCTTTAGGAATGTGGCTCAGCCCAAAGTTTGTGCTGGGCCGTTTCTAGTAGCTCGAGATAGTTATCTATATTATTAAGGTTGAAACAGCACTTTGTATGTATATACTAATTCTACAAATATACTATTAAATCTTAAAGGAAGCTTGTACCGTATTAAAGG